GTTCCAACCATGGACGTGGAAATCCCGGAAACAATTTCAACGCTTCCCTCGAGAAGCAAAAAGATGAAATTCATGCTTAAAACAAAAGGTCGTTTCTGTTGACAGCAACTGGCAATGGTGGTAAAGCTGACCCTCGAACCAGCAGCTGGTGGTGATCAGACCACCCCTCGAGGCCGATGTTGTTCTTGTTTCTGCCGGTAGAACTCCATTTACATCTGGGCTCCAATTGGATAAGATAGGAGTTGAAACCGACAAGGCTGGTCGGATTTTGGTGAATGATCGGTTTGCCACAAATGTACAAGGTGTATATGCCATTGGTGATGTCATTCCTGGGCCAATGTTGGCTCACAAGGCTGAGGAGGATGGTGTTGCGTGCGTGGAGTATATTGCTGGCAAGCAAGGCCATGTGGACTACGATTTGGTACCTGGGGTTGTGTACACACACCCGGAGGTGGCATCTGTAGGGAAAACCGAGGAGCAGGTGAAAGCGCTAGGAGTTGAATATCGCGTGGGCAAGTTCCCTTTCTTGGCCAATAGCAGGGCAAAGGCAATTGACGATGCTGAGGGAATTGTGAAGATACTTGCTGAGAAAGAAACAGACAGGATTTTGGGTGTTCACATTATGTCACCAAATGCAGGGGAGCTTATACACGAGGCTGTTTTGGCATTGCATTACGGAGCATCTAGTGAAGACATTGCTCGCACATGCCATGCTCATCCGACAATGAGTGAGGCGTTGAAGGAGGCTGCCATGGCTACCTATGACAAGCCCATTCACATTTAGAAAGGTAATAAACATTTTTTATTTAATGAGTTTTGAGTTGGTGTTTTGAGAGTTTCAAGACTCAAACTAGCTAGCATAGTTTGTTTGGCTGTGATCAACAATGATTTCACTTTCGAGTTAAATGCTCTTCTGATGAAGATTTATTATTAAGTAATAATAAAACCATGAATATGTGTACATTTTTGGAGCTTATTATAAAGATTTGTGCTTTGAGATGCGGAATAAAATTTTCTCACTTTCTGTTAATACCCTTTTAATATGTGTACAATTAATTGTGTGATATATGGGCCTATCACGTCTGCCTGCACTTTCTAACGCCGTAACTTTGGATTTAGTATCGGGACTCATCTCTCATTATTTAATTTTATTTTTTCCAAATAATGTATGATATCGAATCTATATCTGAGCATGTATTACTATGTGCTTGATTTATATAAGTGAAAATTGAGAATTCCATTTCTGAATGACCACCATTCTGCACTAGTGTGATGAA